GAAGTCGTGGCTCTTCTCCTCTATAAAACCAACACTCCCCATCCATTTGCAAGGGTTAGAAAAACCAGCCAAGATAGATACACCCCATCCTCCATAGCTCTCTTCTTCAAGATCCAAACCCTAATATTCTTGGCCATTTACACTACATCTCATAGCCTACCACCTCCACCATCCATTCAATCACCCCGGAGCTATTTTTCAGAGGTTGAAGGCTCACCTTTTTGGTCCAGAACTTGCTGCTTTGCTGTGCTACAAGGGTAAGTCATTATTTCCTCCATTTTTGCATTATCTTGCTCCATTACTTAGCCCTATTTGCAAGAATTTCTGGGTTTCGTCTTAAACTAAAAAGTGTCTTATTTTGAGCTCCTCTTGATGTTTGATTAAGGACACTTTTCTGTTTGAGGTCCTCTACCTCCTTGTATGCTCCACCCCTCTTTGTAGGCTTATTTTGTTTTGTATCTTAACCCTGTTTACAAGCATTTTTGGGTTTCAATGTAAACTGAAAAAAGTTTTATTTTGAGCTCATAAACATGTTTTATTAAGGTCACTTCTCTGTTTGGGGTCACCTTCCCCTTTTCATGCTTCATTTCCTCATGTTTAGGGCTATGCATTAGAGCATTTGTGTTGGCCTTGGTTTGGCCTTTTAGACACTGAAATCCAGTGGATTTTTAGTGGCTTAGATGTGTTTTTGAGCCCTAAAACCAGAGAGGGGTGACCCTCTCACCCCTTGTTGTCTTTACTAGCCTTGTTGGCCTTCCAAAGGAGCTCCATTTTGCATGTTGATAAGTCTTGTTTCAGGCCATTATCTGTGAGTTTTTAGGTCTGCCTTAACTCTGTTTAGAGCCCTTTTGGCCATATTTTGCATCTTTGATGCATGTGTAGAACAATCTCATTCAAGGCCTTTCAAAGGGGCCTTCATTTACATGCTTCATTGACCCATTCCAGGGCCTTTTTGGTGAGTTTTAGGACCCTCATAACCTATTTCCAGAGTTGGTTTTTCCATTTGGTGTGTCCATCATGCATGTATAGAACAACCCCCTTATTGACCTTTCAAAGGAACCAATCATTCTTGCATGCATTGACTGAATTTCAGTAGTTATTTGGGCATATTTTGGCATGGCATACTTCTGTTTTTGGCTGGTTTAGTGAGCCTTCATATGCCCCATATAGTTGTAGTGTAACTCATGGTTCACTAGCTTTCTTTGCATGCTTTGTTGACCCTTGATTTTAACACTTTTTGGCCATGCCTTAAACTGATATTGTGCTTATTTTGGACTACCCTAGCTCTGTTTTTGGGTCTCATGGTTGAATAATGTTGGTTTTGCACGTTTGTAGTTCAATACCCATGCTTAACTTTGAATTTTGAGGCTCATTACATGCATATACTGAGGTGTGTTCATGTTTTGGGCTCATTATACATAATATTTCAGAGCTTGTTTGAATGCCATATTGCCATGTTTTGTACTCTTTAACTATGTTTGAGAGTCGGACTTGTATGCCTTGTTTTCGGACCATTGAATGAGCTCCATTTCGTTGCATTCCGAGCCATCATTTTAGGCCATTTCCCCACTGTTTCAGACCTGCCTAGGGTCTGTTTGGGGTTGGTTTTTCCTTTGGTGCATTGCTTTGGGTACCTCTAGTGTAACGCACTTCACTAGTTTCGGTACCCGGGCCCCCTAGCTTGCATTGTGTGCCATATTTGCATGTTTCAGGACCATATTTTATGCCATTTTAGAGCTGTATCATATGTCATTTTATGCCATGTTTCATCCTTTACCATGCTTTGGTAGAGTGGCATTTGATGCCTTAGGATTGGTTCCTTGCATCGTACATGTTTGCATGTGTTTCGGTTGTCTCATTTCCATCATATGGCCACTGATGTGAGTATGGCTGAGGTCCACTCATATTGGTGTAAGTCCATCTTGCATTGTGCATGCCATTTCAGTCCGTAGTATTGCGTATGCTAGGTTGCATGTTAGAGCATTGTGCATGCCATGTTACATCACGCGCATTGTGTATGCCATTTTAGTCCATAGCATTGCGTATGCTAAGTTGCATGTTAGTCACATTGTGTATGCCATCTCATCTGCATTGTGTTTGGGATAGGAGTTAACCCAAACACGGGAAACGAGGGGCGTTTCATACTCAAAGTGACGAAACGTGCCTCAATTCCCGGTCCCCGACACTCCGGATTAACCATGATGGAGTCTAAGCCTTGTTGTGTTTATACTTGCATTCATTCCATTGAGTCGTGCAATTCGACTTCTCGGCCATCATACATCGAGATGCGTGATTGGTGGCACGAGGATCGAGGTTTACACTCCCTTGAGCTTGTGCAAGGACGGGGAGAGTGGTCTTGCACACATATGTTAAAAATACCTTGCTTTCTCTCCCTCTTGCCTTTGTTGTAGAAAAACCAGAATCCAGGGGCAGAAAATGGTCGGCTGACCAGGTTTTCTGGCAGGCCGACCACCTTTTTTGGTTTCCACCATAAAGGGTGGTCGGCAGGTGTTTCCTAAGCCAATATCTAGTCGACAGCCTTCCCAGGGTGGTGTTTCAGCCTTCTGGAGCCTTGTGCAAATTTCTAAAATCAGTTGCAAACAAAGGCGAGACGAGGCATCGCGATGGAATTTCCCGACGACGCGACTCGAGCATGCATGCATCTTTCATCATTCGGAACAGAGCTGAGGCGGTCCATGAATTTGCATACTAGTTTATTGTTTTCCTAGTTAATTTGTTAATTAATTAGGGTTTTGTAATATTTAATTATTCATTTGGACTGTAATTATTTATTCGGACTGTATTATTCATTCGGACCCTCCGAGCGAGGGCACAATTGTAATAAGTGTGCGTGTGTGTGATGTATGTCTTCCAATCCCACGTCTTTCTCCCTTTTATTTACCAGCTTATGATGGTTAGTTTAGGGCATGTTTCAATTAGCATACTTATGATAGCATGTTTGCATTCATTCATCTGTCTTGCATGCACCGGGCTCAGCGTATCATACTAACTGCACTATATTTCAATTCCGAGTTGAATACTTGTTAGCGGTAGCATTTCATATGCCATCTTTAGAATAGCCAAGCCTATTGTAGTTGCATTCTTGCATGTGTTGCATTAGGCATTTCTGTATAGCTAGGATCATGCATGGATTTCTAACATAACTTTTTGTTTTGGCTTGGAGTACTCGGTAAGTTTTATGCTTTAGCATCGTTGCATGCGTGTGAGTGACTGCCATGATAGCATGGTTACCATGAGGCTAATTGCTTATGTGATATAACTGCCTGAATGCCTGTGGATGAAGTTTGGATTATCTGAATTTGAATAATGCATTGACTGTGAGTTTTAAGCCCACTTGAGAGTGGCAAACCCATCTTTTCTAAGCCCACCCGAGGGTGGCAAAATCAGCATTTTAAGCCTACTTGCGAGTAGCAAACCGTTTCAAAAGAAAACATGAGGTGTTTTGTTCCAATTCAGGCGATCCAATCTATACTTGTATGCTGTGTGCATCACGTAGTAAATCTAGGCTAATAACTGGAATAAGAATGCATAATGTTTTCAAAACCCGATATCATGGTTAGTAGAGGCCGATCTTTGATTTTTTTATTTTTTATTTTTTATTTTTTATTTTTTATTTTTTATTTTTTATTTTTTATTTTTTATTTTTTATTTTTTATTTTTTATTTTTTATTTTTTATTTTTTATTTTTTATTTTTTATTTTTTATTTTTTATTTTTTATTTTTTATTTTTTATTTTTTATTTTTTATTTTTTATTTTTTATTTTTTATTTTTTATTTTTTATTTTTTATTTTTTATTTTTTATTTTTTATTTTTTATTTTTTATTTTTTATTTTTTATTTTTTATTTTTTATTTTTTATTTTTTATTTTTTATTTTTTATTTTTTATTTTTTATTTTTTATTTTTTATTTTTTATTTTTTATTTTTTATTTTTTATTTTTTATTTTTTATTTTTTATTTTTTATTTTTTCTGGGTTTGTGATGATATCCTTGGAATGTTAAGAAACTTGATTTTGATTTGGTTTCAGAAAGAACAAGAGGAAGAAAAGGAAGGAAAAAGATAGAAGGAAGAGAAAAGAAAAGAAAAAAGTACAAAACGATGTCGTTTTGGCATTTCGAGTCATTCGAGGCAGAGATAATTCAAGCTACCTAGCAGTTCTATATATCATCCTCATTTTGACCTCTAATGAAGGGGAAAGGAGAGATGAGAAGTGTGGATTCCCTCTTTACATGGTCTATTCCATGTCATTGAAGGGGCATTGAGGGTGTTCAACTTTGTTTGGATCGAGAGATGAGAAAAGAAAAGAAATTATTATAGTTTCTCACCCAAGTGAGAAAAGAAATGAAATAACTATAGTTTCTCATTATCGTGTTTGAATGAATAAAAGATAAAAGAATGTGATTTCACATATGTTATTTGGATAGAGTAAATAAAAAAAATTAAAAAAAAGTGTTTTTGTTTCATTTTACCAAAATAACATTCCATATGAATAAATTATTTTTTCAACTTCTTTCATCAAAGGATAATTTTGATATTTTAAAAGTGTTTTCATTAAATTCATTTTTTTCCCCCACCAAATCTCACTATTTTTTGTGATAAATAAAACATAACGTTGGTGTGAGTTTTTTTTTTCAATTTCTCACATACTTGACTATCACAATTTCTTTTATTTTTTTTTACCAAATCCCTCTATCCAAACTGAGTCTTGGAACTCCAAGCATTTTTCTACTAAGAATAAAGCTTGGACCCCCAGTGGGGGTGCTGGGGTCCTTTGTGATTGGTTGAAAAAATTGTTTTTTTTTTTTCTTTGTTTTTGGCCATTAGCAGCCCCCATGTGGCACTGGGGGATGCTGGAGGTGCCAAAATGCTGAGGGTCTCTACCATTTCCGTTCTACTGAAAACATAACCATCAAATCAACTAAACCATTTTTTATTTTCATTTTATCAAAAATAAATAACAGATGTTATCAAATAGGATCTAATTGGTAAATTAAAACACATTCATTTTACCCTTACATTACACAATACAAAATATATATCTGCGATATCACATATGATCGATACAGAAAAACAAAGACAAATGATATCTACGAATCACAAAATAAATTTCACAAAAATCGTTTAGAAACCTTTGTCGGTCGATCTTAAACGTTCTCGACAACTTTAAGATGATTTTCGTGAAACATTTTTTTTGTAATCCATTGTAAATTTATGGGCTCAAACCTAACAAGCTTTAAGGGGTTTCCCACATAGACAATCATTATAAACAAAGGAGGACGCTTCGAGATGATCAAACGGGGAGCCCACCGGAATGTGGCCGCAGAGGTGGTTGTGGCTGAGATCAAGGTGGCCTATATATGTGGCCGATGTAATCGATTTCGGAATCGGACCTGTCAGCCGATTATATGAAAAGTCCATTGCCGTAAAGTAAGATCTCGGCCCAAACCCGTCTGGTATGGTCCCTTCAAATGCATTTCGGCTCAAATTCAATATAGTAATGCTCGATGCAATCAATGTCGGTGGTATCGTTCCCGATATTCGGTTTCCATCGAGATTCAAAGTAGATAGAACTGCCATTTTGCCGATATTTTCTGGTATCGGACCCGAAATTTGGTTGAAAGAAAGATCCAAATCGGCGAGGCGGTATATGTAAGATACCGAGACGGGGATTGACCCAGTGAGTCGGTTCCGACTCAGTAAAGCCCTGCTCAGCATTCGGAGCTTGCCGAAATTACGTGGAATCGTTCCGGAGAGCTGGTTGTTCCGGAGATCCAAGTGCATCAATGAGGAGAGGTTGGTTATCGAACATGGTATGGTGCCGGTGATATTGTTATCGGCAACGTTTAAAACAGTGAGTCGACTCAGTCGGCCAATATCGGCCGGAATTTCGCCGGAGATTTTGTTTCCGATCAAGTCGAGGATTCGGAGAAAGGGAAGGTTAGTAATGCAGGGTGGGATAGTACCGGAAATGCCCTTCCAGTCGGCGATGATGATGCTGGAGAGTCGGTTGAGTCGGCATATGGAGGGAGAGATATAACCGGTCATGAAACCGGTGCGGTGGGCTTTCTCGTAGATGGGGTCTTCGGACTCCCCGCGGAGGTTGATGTCGGCGACTCGGCGTGTGGTGGGGTCGCAGCTCACGCCGAACCAGTTGTGGCAACAGTCGGTGCCATTCCAGGAGTTGAATATGCCCAAGTGGTGGGGTTCGTGTAGGACAGCTCTCAAGGCCATCAAGGCTGCTCGATCCGACGGTAGGCACGAGTACACGGCGGAGCTCATAGACAGCAAGAGAGCTGTGATGAAGATGAGGCTTCCCATTTCTCTCTCTCTCTCTCTCTCTCTCTCTCTCTCTCTGTGTGAAACTCGCTGCTTTCTCTGTCTAAGAGAGCACAGACATTACTCATGCAGTGTAATAACTGAGAATGCTAGAGACGTTGGGCCTTGGCATTTTATATGGGGAAGTACTAAATACACTCAATATTTTTCTCACTACACACTAGGAGCTCTGTACTGATTGATTATTCCGCAGTCACCACGTATAAACACGTGATAGTTGAAAAGATAAATAGGTAGAATATTACGTTTGGTGATGAAGGAATATAAAAGCGAAATTTGGCTATAAATTTTTTTTTACCTTCCTTTTATTATTAGAAGGATTAAGAAAAAAGTTATACTTTTCTAAACCCTTTTATAATTATAAAATCTTATATAAAGAACAAAATTTATTATTTAAATATTTTATCAGACTATTATACCCTCACATATACACAATCCAGATATAAAATTTATCTTCTCTCTCGTCTCTCACTTCTAACCCTAGCTTCCTCCATGGCCGGAGCTGTGTCATTCCTAAGCTCCGACGATCTCTCTCTGCATCTTCTTAACTCTCCTCCTTCAACTGTTCATCTTCTATCTTGTCTCTCTCTTCTAATCCTAGCTGCCTCCATGGCCGGAGCTGTGGAGAACTTACAAATCGCGCTGATACACATATATATAGATGAATTCGAATATATATGTGTTTTGAGATTTGAATTCCAATATATATTTCTACATATTCCGATCTATAATATATATATATATGTGTGTGTGTGTGTGTGTTTGTGTGTTTTGAGATTTGAATTCGAATATATAGATTTTTGAAAGTTCAAAGTTTTAAAAATCTGAAAAATCTGAAGAACCGGAGTATGAAAAATTGAGATTTCTCTAAAATTTTCAGATTGTAGGCCTGATTCAAGGATTATAGGCATGATTCAATGTTTTTCAAAGTAAACATCGATTGATTCAAGGATTATAAGCCTGATTCAAAGCTCAAAGCTCAAAATTCCATCGATTTTTCAGAGTAAACATCAAATTTCATTTGATAGAATCAGAGTAAAATGTTACTCTGGTTCTATTGCTCTGTTTTTTTCATTTGACAGAACCAGAGTAAAATTTTACTTTTATACAGAGTAAAATTTTACTTTTATTTTCAGAGTCTTA